CCGATCTGGCTAATCTACATGCCTCCGTCGAAGGAGGCATGTAGTCTAGACACACCCCTAGAGATCCATTGTCTCCTTGCTAATTAGCATAGTCATTGGCTGAGCATTCCTTGCCCATTACTCAGCCACAGACAGAGAATTTTCCAGCATCCATACAGAGTACGTTTATAACTTCACATACAGATATTATACAATTACATGAATAGCATACACACAATCAGTAGAACAGAAGCTTTCATGTGACACCTCACATGGCCCCCTTTTTATACACTTTGGGGCAAATACCCTCCCCCCCCATGGGTGCAGCAGTGATCTGGCTGCTCCCCTTAAAATCCTGTAATGTGACAGCACCTCATCAAATTCCCTAATTTGGAGCTTGGATGCATCTGACCCCACCCAGCTCATGCTGGAATGGAAAGGAAGCGTAGTAGTGGGAGAAAAGATGGAAGAAAGGAGAGAAGTTGATGGACTGAGGGAGCATCGGAGAAGGGTGGGACCAGCAGGAAGGTCAGGACCCAGACCATGATAAAAGCAGAGTTCAAACTCCATGAAAGTTCTATACTTGGTATTAGTTCTAATGTCCTGGGGCCAAGAGTCTGAAGACAGACTCCAGGCCCACTGGTAGGGGCAGAAGGGAGTAAAGGGGGCAGTTGCTCTGGGGCCTGGCAATTTAAAGAGGCCCAGGGCTCCAACTGCCACCATTGCCAGAGGAGCAGTGCCATGTGCACTGCTCACAACCCTGTAGTAGGAATGAAGGCTTCTGCAGTCTGGGCCCGGGGTGGCGAGTATAGCAAGCAAGGAGCAGGCACTCCCTCAACACACCCTTCCCATTCCTGAAGGAACTTCTTTCTGACTACATTGTCCCTGTTTGTAATTAACCGAAATATTTGCTCCCTCTTGCAAGAATGTGGTGTGGGAACGAGCACAATAGCAGCTTTCTCTAATCTCTCTTTCACTTGCACATTTTTTTGGATGACTCAGGGATGACACCAGTCAAAACCAGATTTTTGTTTTAAAGCTAAGGTGTTTCATTACCACAGGAATTAAAGATGGATAAACTCTGTTAGATTTGTTCCTTCCCTCTGCCAATGTAAAGATTTCCCTTTCTTTGACAGTCTCATCATTTAACTCCATTACTCCTAGTTATTGTTAGTAAACATTTGGGAGAGGGTGAGAAAGAACATTGACAGATGTGTAAACATGTTGCTTTCCACACTACAGGAAGACGTTCTAATCTACAATGCTGAGCAAGGTATAAGAACCTATATAGAATAGAATGAAAATAAATTTGTATTATTATAGAGTTAAACCTCCAAACTGAGACTGGGGCTCTTGTGTATTGGGTTGTTGTAGATATAGATATAGATTTTGTTGTTGCTAGTTAGGTCATTAGGGAACAGCCCAGCTGGTTTGTGCTGGTTCTAGTTAGTTCTGTGTTATGGAATAAAAATGACAACTTGCAGCCACTAAAGCTCTCTGTGTTTCAAGTGATTCCTTCCTAAACTCTGTAATGCCAAATGATATCACAAAATGGAGACGAGGGTGGGATCCCTGTGCTGCCTCCAGCCACAGAAGTAGTAGAAGTCAATGTAAGAAAACAAACCTTTTTGCTGTTCTGGGTGAAAATTGACTGCGACACTTGACAGTGCAAACTGAAACTAAAACTAGATTCTGCTTTGTTCTGAAGGAGTGAAGCCCAGAGGGCTGGGATATAAAGAGAGAGAGAGAGAGAGGGAAAGGAACAGAGATGCAGCAGCCATGGCTTCACTTACAGGGCCATAGGGACCTTTTGGCAAGACTATAAAGAAATGGCACATATATACTGAGCGCTTTGAACTTTTTGTTATTGCAAATGACGTTAAGGAAGAGAAGAAGGTGCCGATATTCTTAAGTGTTGTAGGGGCTAAGACCTGCTCCCTGCTACGCAGTTTGCTGCACTCTGTCTAAGCCACAGACCAAATCTTACAGTGCCGTTGTGGAAATCCTGGGGCCATATTATGCTCCGAAACCATTGGTACTTGCAGAAAGGTATAGGTTCCACAACAGAGACCAAAAAGAAAGTGAAACAGTTGTACAGTTTGTAGAAACTTTGAAAAAGCTGGCAGAACATGTGAATTTAAGGAGATGTTAAATGACTCCATACGTGACAGGTTAGTGTGTGGCCGGCACAGTGAAGCTATCCAGAAGCAACTATTAACAGAGGCTCAGCTCACCCTGCAGAAGGCCATTGATATTGCGGTCTCCATTGAACTAGCCACATGGGAGGTGCAATACTTCAGAGCATCCCCTAGGATACATAAAGTGTCCCAAAAACCTACCCACAAAACAGTGGGGAGCGAGGAATGTTACCACTGTGGTAAGTCAGGTCACCATGCATCAGAATTCTGGTGTAAGGACCTAGTGTGGGGTAAAAAGGACACATTGAATGTGCCTGCAAATAAAAGAAAAAAAGGCCTGTGGTGTGGCAGACCAAAAAAGAAAAACTGCATATCATTGAGCAGACTCAGGATGACATCTCATCCGAAGAAGAATTGCCCTGCTTTGTTTTGTCTTTGGCAGTGGGCTCCCATGAATCCTGGATAACCCCATTGTTGGACAGCAAACCTGTTTGCATAGAAATGGACCCCCAGTGCAGCAGTTTTGTTGGTCTCAGACACTGTGCCACAGCAGCACAGGGGAAGGAATTCAGCCCTGCCCCTCCTCCCTTGCGTAACTGCTGGAAAGTGCTCCTTCCTCCCAGCAGCAGGTTAGTCTGCAGTGGGAAGAGGCAGCATTGGGGCTATGGCTCCTCCACGGCACTTTGGCCATGCACTGGCCCCAGCCCCAGAGCCGCTGCTACTGTGGCCATGCAGGCCGTGGCACTGCAGCAGTAGCACCTTCAGTCTCCAGGGCTGGCTCGGGGCTGTGTGGCCATGGCAGTGGAGCTAGCCCAGGGCCACATGGCTGCAGCCACTGTGCCTCCAGCCTCCAGGGCCAGCCACTGCAACAGCAGAGCTTTTCTCCTGGGTGGCCGGGATAGCGTGGCTGCAGCCATTGCTGCAAGGGAGCATGAAGCCAGGTAAGGTTCCCCCTCATGCCCAGACTCTACCCACTGCAGTCCCCTCACTTCTCTCCCCCCCAAGACCTGGCATCCCCCAAGTTGCTCTGACATCCTCCTTTTCTTACACCCTCTCTCCTAGCTAGACACAACACCCTGTTCCTTCATCCATGTTGTTCCTGCACGGCCTCTCTGGACCCTCCCTTGTTCCTGCTAACTCCACCTGACCAGACACCCTACTCCCAGCCTACTTCTGCACCCCAGCTCCCTCCCAGATCCTGCACCCCATCCCTATCCTACTTGTTGGCAGCCCTATCTCATGCAATGTAGCCCACATTTTTGTCCCTACCCCAAAGCCTAAGGAGGTCCATAAAATCCCCTAACTCCAAAACCCCCAAGAAGTAAATCTATGGGCCGCCCTGAACCTCAGTCCCCTCCTCCCTTCCCCACACCCCAAGAGGCTTGGGCAGACTTGTACAACTATCACTGATCTGTGAGCAGTAGGCTTTTCATGCTGTCTGGCAAATAAGCATATACAAGCACTCCCCAAGTTGCGGACATCCAAGTTTCAAACATCCATACTTATGAGTATTCAACTGCAGCCTCTTGGGAGACGTTAAGAGGCACAGAGGGTGGACAGCATTGCAAGTGAAGGCCAGGGGATTGCAACCAGCCCCATCTCCCAGCCACCCCCATCCCCATTCTGCAGGCTCTCTGCTGGGAACTGGGGCCTAAGCCACTTACCACCTCATCCTCCTGTAATGAAATCTGCCTTTCCTCAAGCACCAGCATTCAAGTTTAAATTAAAAAAATCATTTCTTAGTCAATGTTATTGATTTTATGCTGTGTTTAATTACTAGTATTGCATCAGTATTATTTTCTACCATTTTCTTTGACAATATACACTATTTCAGCTACGTTATGGATTAAACAGGCTTTTGTGGGCTAGCCTGGGAACCTGACCACTATTTATAACATTGTTTCTATGGGAAAATGTGTTCTGAGATCCAACCAATCAGATTGCAAACAAACTTTTGGAACAATACCCATTTGTAAATTTGCAAATAGCTGATATTTTCAAAGCAGAGTAGGGAAGTTAGACCCATCATTTCCAAAGAATTGTGGTTAGATCTCATTCATTGGTTGGAAATTCTCAGCCATGTTTTTCATAGACAGATTTATGCTTAAAGAATAGTGTGAACAGCATAAAAAGTGCTACAACTTCTGCGATTATCTGTTATTTACAAGTAAATATTCCAAAATAGAAAAAGAAATATAAAGATAAAAGAAATAATGAGACTATCACTCACACATATCAAGTGCAGGATTACTCTATCCCAGGTTTAAAATGCTTTATCACCTTGTGAGTAGAATCACTAGTACAGAACAATGTAGGTTGCAAGAGAGTACATCTAGCTAAAAAGAAAAGAAACAATTGATTTGGACAGGACATTTGTATTTAATGATCCTTCTTGCTGTGCTTACCTTGTCATAGGCCCCCACCACATTACAAGTAAATGGAGTCTGAGAACTAGCACCTCTTTAGACAGATTAGGAGGACATGCAATTGGAAATCCCTCCTGAAGTCATCAAGATTCAGGGCAGCTCTATGCTACTACAGTAAGTTGACTTAATTTTGCTACTTCAGTAGTGTGAGTAACTGAGTTTGATGTAGCTAAGGTTGACTTAGCACAGCATCTGCATTGTCCTGTGTTTACATGGTATATCTCCTGCCAACTTAACTTACTCTTCTGAGGGTGCTGGAGTACTGGACTATATGGGAGAGTCCTCTGCCATCAACTTAGTATGTCTTCATCAGACCTGTGAACTCAGCACCGCTGCAGCAATCTGGTAAGTGTGCATATGGCCTCCAAGATTCAATTAAAAATAATGGCAGCAAATGAGGATGGATTCCATGACTTTGTCCTCCAAGCTTTGATAGCATATTTAAGGCTTGTAGATTTGAATTTTAAATGATTTTGCTGTCAACAGTAAATAATTGGCAAGCCTTCTCTGGAAAGGCACAAAGGCCGATAACATGAGCAGAAGCAAAACTTAAGTTCAACGCAGTAACTTTCATTTAACTACAATGTGTCTCTTTTTTTATAAATGCACAGAATCCATCCGTTTTTAATTGCGATGCTTCCCATTGTGCTATGACTTCACAGTTTTGTAGCCTTGTGCAGTATATTAATGTCAGGGTCATTTTTCCGGTCGGAAAAGTCTTTTTTCAATTTATAGACCTAATGGAGATTTTCATTTAGGGTTTGAATCTGCAATTCTTCCTCAACCATGTTTTATATTTCTAAGTTTCCTCATGACACCCATCACTACACTGCCTTTGTACCTCACAAAAAATTGTGGACTTAGCCACATAACATAGCTAGAAGGTAAGGAAAGATAAAAACTCCCATTTACATAAGAGAAACTCAGGCAGAGAGAGACTAGACAATTTCCCCAACGAAACATAGGAAGTCACTGTCAGAGCATGAACAAGACCCATCATGTATCTTAACCAGAAGACTGTCCTTGATGCTGATGATATGGCTCTCATGAGTGAGTGCTAGTCAACATGCCAGATTGAATTCTTAGATTTGACAGGGCATGACCAATGAACTTCACAAACATTTAACTGCATTTATGATCTTTGTGATTTTATCAGAAATAAGTGTTTAGATATTGATCTATTTTGAAATTTCTGTTGAAGAAGACAATTGCATTACAGCCGTGGTCCCCAACACGGTGCCCGCGGGCGCCATGGCGCCCGCCAGGTGCTCGGGGCTGGCCTGGCACCGGGCGCATGGCGGGGGGAGCACCGGCCCTGGGCACCGGTGCCCGCGGGCGCCATGGCGCCCGCGGGGGCATTTCCATGCGCCCGCCAGGTGCTCAGGGCTGGCCTGGCACCGGGCGCATGGCGGGGGGAGCGCCGGCCCCGGGCATGCGGCTATGGGGGGGCCGCCCCCGGGGCGCAAGTGTCCCCACCCCCTGGCACCCGGCGGGCGAATGGCCACGCCCCCTGGCGCCTGACAACCTTGAAAGGTTGGGGACCACTGCATTACAGGGAGATTTGGCCTAAAGAAGGATTGGGGCTGATTTTCTGAAATACAGGACATTAATCTAGTCAAGAGGGTACTAACAGAGAATATTAGCACTTCTCTTCATGAATATTGTAAATTATTTGGTTCTCCTGAACTGGAGTGGAATGGAATTCTTAGATGGAGAGATTTCTGAGCAAGTTCAAAATATTATTTGCAGTTCAGAAATGACCGTATTTTCTTATGAAGTGCCATACTATGTAAATATAGTTGTAATTGGTACCTTCTCATACTTCCCTGTGATGGGATAATGCTGAAGAGGTTCTGTAGGAAGAATGGAAATAAGAGGACTTAATAAGATTTTCTTTTGAAGACCACATCTGAATATTTCTATTCTTGCACATGCCTCAGACACTATATGCTTTCAAAAAATAAAACTGAAAAAGGTAGAGAAATAATGAAAAGGTATGATGACTATACAAGTAATAAGCAACAAATTAAAACCTAAAGAAGAAAAGGAATATTTCATTCTCTTATTAAATCACCTCCAATATTCAAAAGTTAAGGCAAAAGCTGGATACCAAGAACAATGTGATATAATAATAGCTGACTTAAATTGATTCAGACCATACTGCTCTTTATCTGCAAAAGAACAGATGCACTCGCTGATTCCAGAGTATGAAACCGTAACTTCAAAAAACACATTCCTCCCTCAAGTAAGCAGCTTTAAAAGTAAAAGTAAAATCAATGTCTCTATGCTGCACACAACTCAAGTTATTTTTTCTTACAAATTATGGAGATTGTGTGAAAAATATACTTTAATACCTTCACCTGAGTCTTTGGCCTCAGAAAATATAATGTATCGTATGTACAATAAGCTGTGAATGACTGTTTGAAAGCTAAAAGTAGATCATTTACCATCACATGTGCTGGTACAGAAGCTAGAAAAAAGCATTTCAGCTTTCTTTGCCAAACAAAAACAGCCTTTACCTTTTCTTGTATCTATTTCCCCATAAGCCAATTGAGTCAGTAGAATCTGGCACCTCATGTGACTGGGTTTAAGTTTGGTAACCTTGACCTATGTCACCTGACTTGGTCCAGGAAATGAACTTCTTGCCAGCACTACTGTGTGTATCTGTCTTTTATTACTTAATATCAGAAGTAAAGCGCATAACAAATCTTTGTTATCCTAAAAAGATACACACCTTGTCCTGAGAAAAGAGAGTTCAACAAATAAGGGGAGGGGGGGAGGAACACTCATTTACTCCTTGCTGACTTTCTTTATTCAAGAACGATGGTAATGTTTGCTTCTAGAAACACTGTCTTTGAATGGCTTTCTTTTCATGTTGAATACACCCCAACCAACTATGGGATAACTGAATTATTTCAGAGCCCCTGAAGAATCATTAACATTTCTATATTGCAATCTGTTTCTTGAAAAGATGTAGCCAAAACCATGGGCAAATACTGTGTGCTACTGACGTGCTACTGTTAATTGCCTGGGACATTGTCCAACCAACCCCCACATTTTCTAAAGACTACAGGACACAATAATATGGGGTACTTCTACAAAGCAGAGTTATTTCGGAATAAGTGATGTTATTCCAAAGTAATACAGTCTGGGTCTAGACTACAAGCAGCTATTTCAACATAATGTCAAAATAATGTCGAGATGAAGGACTTCTTATTCTGACTCCTGTCATCCTCTTTTTATGAGGAGTAAGGGAAGTAGAAGGCAGAGTGTTCTTCCTTTGACTTCCTGCTGGGTAGACAGAACCAAAAGCCAAAATAAGCTATTTCGATTTAAGCTATGCAATTGATGAAGCTCAAGTTGAGTAGCTTATTTTGGCTTTAGCCCTGCTGTGTAGATGTGCCCATGGAGAGGACATAGGGAGTGCGGTGGAAGCTGGTGCTGAAACAGCAATCTGGAAGCCATGAGAACAAGTAAACACTTAAACAGTTTCTTCTGCTGCTCTCTGCCTTCCTCCTTCAGTCATGTTCTAGGAGTCTGTCCACCAATTTTTCTTCATTATGTGCCAGCTTTGTATCTCTTTCACTCCTTCCTGCATCCTTATCCTTTATATACTCCATTTGGTCATTCTGGAATGCTGTCTACTGATTTATTTTATCTAGAAGTTGTTCCCTTAGTTCATTTTGTATTCTTTCTCCTTGCCTATAGTAGCTGAGTCGGCTCCTCCAGGATCCTGTTGCTGTGTGCTTTTCTCTGCAGGGGAGAAGGGCTTTGAAAGGAAAAATGAAAGAACACATTAAATTTTCCACAGTATCAAAGGGGCTGCTTTAATTCAAGGTCAAAAGATAAATTTAATCAATAGGCTTTATGTTATCTGGAAGCTATGAGCACAAGTAAACACTTACACAGTTTCTTCTGCTGCTCTCTGCCTTCCTCCTTCAGTCATGTTCTAGGAGTCTGTCCACCAATTTCTCTTCATGATGTGCAAACTTTGTATTTCTTTCACTCCTTTCTTTATCCTTATCCTTTATATACTTATATGAAAAGTGATCTTCCACTTGGTCTAAAAAGAGATGTAACATCTCTCTGTTATGTTGTATATAGACCAAACCAGACTGTTCGTAAGGAGGCTGCACTGGGTCTCCATTGTTGTTTTTATCATGAATGTTCACCAATTTCTGGGTGGTGATGAAGTGAACTTCTCTTGAAGTGGGAACTCCAGACAGTCACACTCTGGGGTACAGCATACCTACAAGGGCCACCTTGGGAACTCATGAGCCCCCTGCATTTCAAGATGTGCTGGTTGATCCCAGGACCCAGCTGAACTCCTCAAAAGAGAAACAGAAAGACAGTAAAGTCCTACATAGTCCTGTATTTTGTTTCAGCTACACCAGACTAACACGGCTACATCTCTATCACTATTCAGTAAAGTCCTTGTGATGCTCTTAATAATCTTGACTTTATAGTAGTCTGTCTTCCTGCTCTTTGGTTCAATCTCTGCTTTTTTTCTGCTGTCTGATCGATTCTCAATGCTGCCAGTCCCTCAGATATAGCTTTGCAGACATGATCATTTGTTGTGCTGTTGCTGAAGTCTTGCTTGCTTTGCACTACAGATTAATGAGAATCTCTCTCTGTTCCTCTGGCCAGCTAGCAGTAAGCTTGATTCGGGACTTCTTCTCAGTGGTGTCCATAACTAATACACATGAGGGTTGACTGTGTTTCCAGCTGAACAATCTTCATGGAAATAGGCTAAGTGCTGAACAGCTGCATTTGAAACTGGAGGCTGCTTCTGGTGCCAGAGAAATAAATGGGACATTTGGGGTGGAAGAGCTGAAAAGTACTACCCCAAAGGATTGTGGAGTCATATTGGCACTCAGCACACCTGAGGTTGGCAATCTGGACTTGAGTAAAATTCCTGCGTTTTGACTCACATCACAGCAAGGCTCAGGATCAGAATCCCTCCCGCCCTTCAGCAGGGCCTGCATCCCCAAGTCTAGAGAGCCATGAAGGGTTCTGGCTTAACTCTGGCTGATTTCTATGTGAACAGAAGGGGATCTTGATCTTAAATCTGAATCAGAACATAGATTTAGTGTGCTTAGATATATCCTGAGAGT